CATACACAGTACATCTTGAACTGTATCTGTGAGTTTGTTTTTGTTTTTTGTTTTTTTTTTTTTTAAAAAAAACAGAATGTTGTATGTATACAGTAATAGTGAGCAGTCATGCTTATCTAGGTATGGAATGTTTTAAGCACACTAGTTCTATTTGAAGTAAGTTTCAAGCATAGATAAAACACCAGCTTTCTGAGGAAGTATAGTCAGAGAGCTCTAGATGCTTACACACAACATCCATTTAGGAAATATCCTGAAGGAAATGACTTTGAGAAGTATTTTAGCATTTATATTTTTTAATTAATAAAAAATATAAATTTTGTATTTTATAGAAATCACAGGCTGAGAATTATTTTCCAATTGAATTTTGTTAGTTGAAGTAGACTATAAATCAAGGCATGTTTAAAGCAGATTTTAAGAAATCATAAAATATTAAATAAACTTAAATTACTTTATAATGTGTGTAGTTGTTTTCCTGTTTATAAGCCAAGATCTGCTTATGCACATGTAACCAGACTGTTTAGGCTTTCAAACAGTCTAACATTTTATTTTTGAGCAATGTATAAATATATCTTCATTGTAAATAATCTGAATATTGTAGAAACAAACCTGAAGTCTTCTTGTCCATTCTTCTCAGTTCTGGTTCTGTGCCTCAGGTTACCCTGTGTTAGCAATGGCAAAAGCTGTTCCTGTTTTTTCTGAAGTTTGAAGTATTGTACTATTGTTTTGTAGTTGTGTGTGTTAAAATACTCTGTCCAGAAGCAACTTATAGAAGGGTTTACTTCACCTTCCAGCTCCACAGGGATGCTCTATAATGCAGGGGAACATACAGCAGGCAGACTTGGGGGCAGGATCAGGAAGCTGAGAGATCATGTCCAGCCATGTACAACACACAGGAACCAGAGAGCAGGCAAGCAGGTACTGGGGCAAGGCCATGAATTCCCAAAGCCTGTGCTCAGTGACATACTTCCTTCAGCAAGGGTCAAAGGTCCTTTGACCTCCCCAAATAGTGCCACCAGTTGGTGACCAAGTGAGCCTATGGGGGGACATTTCTCATTTAAACCTTAACAACTATATACGTGTATGTGTATATATATTTGATGACATGCAAACAATGGTTTCATGACATACTTACTGATGTGTACACTACATCTTACTTTTTCTTCTCCTTGATAAATCTTGATAGAAATCTGTTTCATCTATAACATAGGGATTGATTTCATGTCCTAGATCTACTTCATTCTTCTTATTTTGTTTTGTTTTGCCATAACATTTGATAGGCCCACACTTTATTTATTGTTCTTCTAAAAATGCCCCCGTTGCCGAGTCTCAGATGCCAGGACATGGTTTCTGCCTTCAAGAACCCTGTGCTCTTGACTTGGAGCTGCACTTAGGGCTGATATGTGTAGTCCTAGTTGGTTGGAATAAAGACTTTCAGTAGGGTGTCTGAGTGGTCATATCCTGTGGGCACCCTGTAACACCCAAAGAATCTATATACTACCATAAAGATGTTTGTACACTTATGTTCATTGCAAGGTAATGGAACCAGGTTGGCTGTCTAACAACAGATGAAAGGATAATATCTGTCTATCTATCTATCTATCTATCTATCTATCTATCTATCTATTTATCTATCTAAAACATTTTCATATATCACTGCATATATATGTATGTATACATGGAAGATGTCATATTATTAGCTGTAAGGAAAAATGAAATTTGCAGGAAAATGTGTGGGCCTGGAAAACAGAATATTAAGTGAGGTGATCCAAACTCAAAAAGAAAACAAATCATGATCTTCAAATGCAAATCTTAACCTATAGTCTGCATGTGTGAACATACATGTGAGTATGTGTATACACATGTGAACATATAAATAGGCCTAAGTATGACCATAGTCTAGAATTTCTTTTCTTTAAAAAAAATTTTTTGAGACAGAGTCTCACTATGTAACCCTGGAACTTGCTATGTAAACCAGACTGGCCCTCTACTCTCTGAGATCCAGCTGTCCCTGCCTTCAAGTGATGGAGCGAAAGGTGTGTGCCACCACAAATCAAATACCAGGTGGTGAGGAAAGAGAGCGCAGGCAAAAGGACACACGAGCTGTAGGGAATGTACTGGTTATGAAAGGTGGCCATGAAGGTTGTCTTTTTTAAAATAAAATACTGTATTAGCTAGGCGCGGTGGTGCGCGCGCTCATAATCCCAACACTGAGGGAGACAGAGGCCGGCAGATCTCTGTGAGTTCAGGGCCAGCCTGGTCTACAAAGTGAGCCAGGACAGCCAAGGATACACCGAAAAACACCATCTCAAAAAAAAACAAACAACTATATTACTTACGAAATTTTAAAAGACACTATTGTTTTATACTAAATTTTATATTAAAGCTATATTTGACATATAAAAGCTACTTATTGTATGTGCAGAAGTCATGCATTTGTAATTTTTTTTTTTTTTACTTGTTAATTTTTTTGGCTTTTCAAAACAGGGTTTCTCTGTGTAGCCTTGGCTGTCCTGGGCTTGTTTTGTAGGCTGGGCCAGCCTAAGATTCAGAGGTCTGCTTGCCTCTGCTGCCTCTAGTGCTAGCATTACAGGTATGCACCACCGTGCCTGTCACTTGTAATGTTTAAATTTGAAATAATTGTAAACTACACAAAGTCTCAAAAATAGTGCACAGAGTTGACAGACACCCTGGTTCTCTCAAATTTAATTAGTTTTGTATAGCTGTGGTACAGTTATAAATTACACGTTAGTATTGGCACAATACTACTGGTTGACCTACAGTTTTCATTTCACTTTATCATTTTTCAGCTAATGTTCATTTTTTTCTAGTCCAAAATTCTGTTTAGAATGTTGGTTCTTAGAGTTCGCATTTTCTTCAACCTGTGGCAGTTTCTCAGCCCTTGCCTTTAATGACTTTGAGACTTTTAAAGAATTTTGGTAGCCAAGCACGGTGGTGCACGCCTGTAATGACAGCACGTGGGGAGGAAGAGGCAAGTGGATCTCTGTGAGTTCCAGGCCAGCCTGGTCTACAAAGCAAGTCCAGGACAGTCAAGGTTGCACAGAGAAACCCTGTCTCAACCATCCTCCCCCTCCCCCCAAAGAAAATTCTGCTTGTTTCAAAGACGTCTTGCAATTTGTGTAATTTGTGTTTGTCTGACATTATCTGAACTGAGATCATTTTGGGGGGTGGGGGAGCACCACATAAGTGATGGCCCCTGTCAGCATGTTGCAAGGGGTACGTGATGACATCTGCATGTTCTGGTGAGGTTTCTCTTGTTTTCCCACTGTAAAATCATTAACTTTTATAAATGGGGCAGATAACTCGAAACTACATGCTCTGTTTTCCTTGAAACCTTCACTTATCTTTAACCTTCACTTATCTTTAACATAACTGTCAGGAGAATTTGTCTGAAATAGTTCTTTATTGTGATTATATTGTAGATATTTCTTTTTTATTCTTTCTGCATTCATTAATGAAAAATCTTCAGTAAGAAAGGGGTTTCTTCTCTCTTTTATTTATCTGTTCGAAGGTCTTGTTCTCTGGGCTATAATCTCAGACATTCAGCATCTCATATTTGCCTCTGAACGTAGAGAAAGCTAGCGAGTTTATTTCACCGGAAGCAGTAAACCAAGAAGGAGAGACTTGAGCAGCAGTGGATACATGTACTTGTTATATGAGAATGACATAAGGGCAGTTTCTGAAAGAAGAGGAAAATCCCGGTGATTGCCATGTGGTCACATGAGAAGCAGAGAGAGGGGATTGAACCAGAGAACTCCGGGAAGCCTGCCTCTTGGCAAAAAGTCAGAAAATTTCATGGGAGGAACACAGAAAACAGAGAAGAAAAGGGAGACTGTTATCATTCCATTGACAAATAATAAATGCAATCTGACATGAAATGTGCTTTGCAGCGAGGATGAAGGGAATACCGAATGTGACTTAATAGGTGCTGTTTTAACAATATTGAAAAGATAAGGAAAGGGCTGGGGCAGGAGGCAGGTGAGGGTGTCTAGCGATGTCTAGGAAGGCCTGTTTCTGTTTGCTGCTTGACTGCAATGCTCATGTTCTCTTCTTCTGTAGCAGAGCTGTTGGTAAGCCTGGAGACCCATGTTCCCAGGTCAAGGAGTACACCATCTAATTTGGCTTGAAGCAAAATGTAACATGTGCTTTAAGTTTAGAAGTGTTCGAGGGTCCTTTGCGAGGATTGATTTTAAAAGTGTACTCTCTTTTGTTCTGAGATGGGAATGTACTGGTTGACGTTTCTTTCACCATTGTGGACCATGAGAATGAAGTAAACACCCCTTCATGGAAGACCAGAGAGTAGGCCGTGGGGTCCTGAAAACATTACAGACTATCACATCCCCGAATTCTCTGTTTCGAGAAAAGTCTCTGTAGCCTTGACAGGCCTGAAACTCAGTGTGAAGAGCAACTCTGCCTTAAACTTGATGCAATCCTCCAGCTTTAGCTTCCTGAGTTCTGGGATTATAGGTATATGCCATCATGGTTCATTAGAAATTGTGTGTGTCTGAGATAATGTTCAAGTCTTAGTCATATGGACCATTTCTTAGCTGATTTGTATTAAAAGTTAACACTCATATTAATAAATAATATAAACCTGTTATTTAGTAGTAGAGACAAATACTAGAGGGAACAGGAAAAACTGAAAGCATCTGCCTTTGGCAGTGGGAATTGGGATAAGAGCAAATGTTTATGATTTTTTTCTTATAATAATTTTTGTAATAGTTAACATTTTAAATTATATACATCATTAATAAAATTAAGTTTTAATTACTATTTATATATTTACTTCCTACCTGTAATTACTTTTCTTATCACCTAGAATACTAACTCTTGGTGTGGTTTTCTGCATCCTTTTGTATACAGTTATTTTCCTAATACAGTATGTATAAAGTAGGTTTTTACCTACATTTAATTTTAATTTTAAAATGCTCTTTATTAGAAATATTGAAGTGTGCAGTGATATTGTTTGTTTATATTTTTAGAGTTCAAGATATGAGCATGCAGTTAAAAATGCAACAAAATGAATTTCAGAGAGTACAGAAAGAATTAGGTCATCTACAGCATGAGTTAAAAATTAAACAAAAACAATCCAAAATGTTCAGGTAAGATTATCTTTAAGAATTGAAAGTTATCAGTATTAAAAACAAACAGTAAATGCTTACTTTATGAATATCCAAACGTTTTAGTAATATGGATTCTAATTTTGAAAAAAAATAAAAAGAGCTTCACTTTCTTATTGTCTTTATATCAATTGAATTATTTTACTAATAAAAAGTAACTGAGCAAACACTTGTTCTGTTAACACCTTGCTTTTTTTTCCCTCTGTAGTGACATTTAAAATGAAAGCATAGTAGCTAATGCAATTTTTTTGTGTGTATGTATAGAGTGGTGATTAGTGTGTAGTCCATGTCTATGTTGATGTGTGTGTGTGTGTGTGCGCGCGCGTGCGCGCGCACGCGCGCGCGCGGCGCGCATGTGTGCTATGGATGTCTTCCTCTACCCTCTGCATTATTTCTTGAAACAAGTCTTCTTACTAAACTTGGAGCTTGTTAATTCAGCGAGGCCGGCTGACCAGCAGGCTCCAGGGAGCTCCACATTCTTGCCTGCCCTACACTGGGGTATAGGCACGCGCTGTCAGGCTGACTTTTTATATGAGTGCTGGGAATCAGAGCTGAGGACTCACACTTGAGTGGCGGTACTGTATTTGCTGAGCTGCCCCTCTGGCTTCTCTCGATTAGCAGCTTCTTGGCCATGTGATCTGCCAGAACAGAAACCCTTCTGTGATAATATAGACCCTCAAATTAGAACTCTCCAACACAAATGATGTTAACACTTTCCCATGGAATCTCTGGAAAGTTTATAATGCATAAAGATAAAAACCAGTGTATAAAACAACAACAACAAAAACAAATGAGGAAATGCATGCCCTTGAATACATTGAGAACCTTTATAAAAATGATTCTTTATTTCAGTAACTTTTAGCACTTAGAAAAAGAAAAATAGATTAAGTCAACATAAGTGACACAGATTCAGGATAACTAAAAAAAGATGCTAGAAAAGTATTTTTGAATGTTGGGCTTTTATTTTTAATCCGCTCTCTAATATCACAAACATTTTCATTCTCTGAGTTCATGATTTTTAACTGCCTGTTGAACATTATTTCCCTTTCATAAGTGTCTTATGTGTAGTCAGTAAAGAATTGCTGAACGGATGCTTGAAGGTGGTCTGCTCGCACAGTGTGTGTGTGTGTGTGTGTGTGTGTGTGTACGTGTGTATGTGTGCATGCACAGTAATGTCAGTACACCACATGCATACATTTCCCCCAAAGGAGTCGTATTCCCCTGGGACTGGGGTGATAGAGGACGGTGAGCTATCATGTGGGTGCTGGGGACTGAACCTGGGTCTTCTAAACAACAGCCAGTGCTCTTAACCTCTTCCCCATTGCTCTAGTCCCCCAGATGAACATTTTTACATTATTATTCTCCTTGGCCCATTTCAAGAAAGCCAGTAGTGAGCCAGCAGCTCTGGTTGCCAGTTGCTTGACTCCCTTGGCCTATGTGTGAATTACGCATATGTCCTCTTTTCATTAAAATAAAATAAAAAAAAAAACAGAAGTACTTTGGCATTGCTGTATAATTCAGTGTATCTCACTATTCTCAGATTATATCTGTTGCCTCTGCCTAATATGTCGACATCTTCCTTTCACTTTTAAAATTATTTTCATTAAGCAATATATGATCATGATAAACCACTTTTGAAGAAATGTGTTGTGCTTTCTGTGTTTAAAAATCCTAATTTTTTGTTTTACTAATTGCAGTCAAAGATTTTCAGAATACAAATACTTCTGGAATAAGACTCTTTTATTACTTAATTTTACTAAAAGGGAACTAACCAGTATTAAATATGAAATATATGATAATTTTCAAAACTGGACTTCACTGAAAGGAGAAGTTTTTCTGCAAATTAAATCTATAAGTGATACAGCTTTAGCAGGTTTGTTACATATATTTACAGCCTAATTGCTTTGTCTGTAACTGGTACATAATAGATATGCAATCCTAGTATTTCTCTGCCTGTTGGGCCCGAGGCTCCACTTTTTAAACTGGTGGCTGATTGGAACTGTAAAGAAGCATTAAGGTCCACTCCACTCCTGGAGTGCAGCAGTTCTGTACTGATCTAACGTAAGCTACAGTACCTCCATTTTAAGCTCTACTCAAAAGTATGATTACTCTTGTTAAGCATATGGATTTGTTTAAAGTTTTTCTTTTCATCTCAATAACTGGTTAGATCAGCTCCCCCCAAAATAATTATAAATACCAAACATAAATATTCAATATTGCTGCGAGACCAAAACCAAGCACATAAAGGCAGAAGCATCAAAGATTGAGTGAATATTTTCCTCAGTGAAGATGTCAGTCTGAAAAGGCAGTGTGATATATTACATTTGTGTGACCTGTTGGAAGGGAGAACTATAAAACAGTGAACTTCAGTGACTGAGAGGGGGTTAGGGGCAAGGACAAGTAAACACGTGTCACACAGAGGAATTTATTTATTTATTTAACATCCTTCCTCTCCTCCTGCTCCTACCCTCCCTCCACCTTCTCCTGCATCCCCCATCCCCTACTCCTCAGATAAGGGGAGTCCCCACCAACAGCAACCCACAGCAGCACATCAAGTCCATCAGGACTGAGAGCATCTTCTAGGGAGAAGTGGTCAAAAAGCAGGCAACAGAGTCCATGTCAGAGACAGGCTCCTCTCCCATTTCTAGGGGACCCACATGAAGGCCAAGCTGCCCGTCGGCTACATATTACACAGAGGAATTTTAAGATGTGGGAATTATTTTCTAAGATACTGTAATGGTACATTAACATCATTATGCATTTGCTAAAATTTACAAAATATAGAACACCAAGTGTGTCTCCTGGTGTAAAGGAGCTCTGTGTAAATAATGCCGCTGTTGGTTGTCTTGAACCAGGTGCACCACGGTGGTACAGGGTGTCACAGGAGGGAAGGTGGGGTGGGGGATGGGGCAGGAGGTACAGGAGGTACGTAAGAACTCTGCTTTATTCCCTCACTCTTACTGTGAACCTAAAACTGCTAAGATTATTTTAAATATTGAAAAAGAATATGGAACTGGGTGAATTCCTTTTCTTTCTATTTTTTAGAGGTGAGTAGACAAAGGTCAGGATACTGTTTATTCTACATAGAAACAAAAAGTATGAAAGAAAAATGTGTTCTTTTAAACCTGAAGATGAGAGGACAGAGATCAAGGCAGATCCAGCCTCTGGGAATAGCCAGGTGCAGAGACAGTGGGAGAGACCAGATTTTGCATGGAATGCTTTCCAAATCTCTAGCTTCTCTCTGGAGTACATGTACACAAGGAAGACTGAGCAGCCTACCTTAGACAAAAATGATTGATCCTTTAACAGATACCTTCCCTGCAGGATAGACCTTATAGTTTGAATTTAGCTAAATTTATTGCTCATCAAGCCAAAGTAGAACGAATAGAAAAAATACTCCGTAAATTAAAAAAAAAAAAAAAATATATATATATATATATTTAACATCCATATATATATATATGTATATAAATGTATATGTGCATGAATGTTTTACTCTGTGTATAACTGTGTGCCATTAATTGTGCCTGGGGCCCAAGGAATCCAGAGAGGGCTTCATATGCCCTGAAACTGTAGCTACAGACCATTGTAAGCTACCACGTGGGGGCCGGGAATCAAATCTGGGTCCTCTGAAAGAGTAATCAATGCTCCTAACTGCTGAACCATTTCTCCAGCCCCCTTAAAACTCTTCTGAGGAAGCAAAATGGAACTGAGGCTCCATAATGGACTACCCACAGTGTTTGATACACAATCCAAATTTCTTGACCTGGAGAGAAATATTTAAAAATATTGTCCATACCCCCAATATAGCAGTCAGTGCAGAGCAAACTGAATCGCCCTGGATGAGGTGTGATGTCAGAGGCATCTCTTTTCTTAGTGCCCTCTGCGGACACTGCATCTTTTTATAAATGGAAGATTTCTGGCCATCTTTAGTGGGCAAGTCTCATGATGTGTGCCCACTTTGGTAAGCGCACATTCTGTCATATCTTGGTAATTCTTACAATACTTTTTATTCTTATTTTATAATCTTTTATAGCAAACAGTGACCTTTGGTGCTACTATTATAACTGTTTTAGGGTACTATGAACCACACCCATGTAAGAAGGTGCACCTACCTTTAACAAGTTTCCTGTGTTCTGACTGTTCAAAAACAGCCGTTTCCATGTCTCTCACTCTCTTTGGGACCTTTCTAAAACAGAAGTATCAATATTAGGCCAGTTAATAATCCCACAGTGAATGCTAAGTGCTGGAGAAAATGGAAGAGCTATAAATCTCTCTTTTTAGCTCAAGAGCTACAATAATTGTGCTTAGTGAGAAAGTCAAGATAGGTCGAAAGTTAGGCCTCTAGACCTGGAACAGTATTCTAGGTTGTGAAAGCAAAGTTCTTGAGGGAAGTACAGAGTGCTACTTCAGTGAACATATAGAAGACAAGAAAAACAGCCTTCCTACTAAGTTATTACTGATAAAGCTTCTGCCCGCAACATTCTCTGATGTTAAAGCTTCATTTAGAACAAATCCCTGACCTTCAATTCATGAAGGTCCAGAGAAATAAGAAATCATAGGAGAAGCTACCAGAAGTTGGTTCAGGAGGTTTAAGGGAAAAAAAAAAAAAAGAAAAGCCTTTATAAGATAAGTGTGCAAGACAAAGCAGCAAATGCTGAGTTAGAAGTTGCATCAAATTATCTGGAATATCTGGTTAAGATAATTGATGAAGATGGCCTCAATAAACAACATTCTTTGGGGGACAGAGTTTCTAGCTCATCGGTCTCTAAATCCCCATGTAGCTAAGGGTGGCCTTGGCGTCTGTCTTCCATGGTGCATCAACTATCACACTTGATCTTTAATACCAGGCTGTCAATGGAACAGCTTGATGCTTGAAAGAGACACCATTTAGGACTTTGCATTGCTAGAGAAGTTACCGCCCAGGTTCAAAGGACAGGCTGACTCATTGGCGCCAGGAAAAGCTGGCTTGACGTGGAAGCCCCCTTTCCATCTGCCACCCTCAAATCCTGGGACTCTGAGAATCATGGAATCTGCTCTTCCTGTTCAATGTAAATGGAGCAACAAAGCCTGGATGACAGCACATCCGTTTACAAAATGGTTTACTGACTTGTTAAAGCCTACTGTTGATAACTGTTGCTCAATAAGCTCAGCCTGGCACTGCATGCCTCCTGCTCCAGCTCCAGCTCCAGGAAGGCTCGGGGAGCGATTTATTCAAGGAATTCAAGGCTATCTTGGGTAACATGCTGAGATCCAGTCTCTAAAACAAATTCCTTTTAACATGTAACTTCACCCAAGAACTGGGATGGAATTTAATGAGATTAGTAATGTTTCATGCCTGTTAACTGGCATCAACCTATGGATCAGGGATTTTTACTTCAAGTTTCACTATCTGTACACTTTATAAGTTTATCTTTATCAAGGGTAGTGTTGCCATGATTTATATAGACAATGTAAATTGAAAACCTCTGGAAATGATTCTCTACTGTAGATGTCAATAAGATTAAATACTATCATTAGGATCCACCATATAGACCACATTAAAAACATTCATTTTTCATGTCAAAATATCAATATTAATAAGAATTTAGAAGTTGATTGTAACCAACATGGCTTTGGGGGCTGAATACATGAGTGGAAGAAGTAACTGTAGACCAGGCAGCAATAGCAGTTGACCTAGTTTGTTTTCTGTTGCTGTGATAAACATGATAACCAAAGCAACTTGGAGAGGAAAGGCCTTATTGCTTACCACCCCTATGAAGGGAAGGACCTCAAGGCAGGGACCCCATGCTGGGCTGGGCCTTGAGGATGCAGCTGTTGCTGAGTCATTTCTGTTACTGTAAGTAATCCCAATAAAACTCGTGGTTCATCCGTTTGAACCGTGGTGGTATCCATAGTTCATCGTGCTGTAAGCTCCCTATCTGGACTGGGTAGAAGTTTGTGATCTCCCTATAAGAAGTTTGGTCACCCAGCAACCACTGAAACTTGATGAAAGAAAACAGCCAAGTTAATACACAATAAGCTGCTTCCTTGCAAGAGACAAAATCTGCCAAAAAAAATTAGGCCAGGTGAGATCTCCCCCTTTGGCATCAGTGACCATCTGGCTGAATCCAGCTACCCTGGGGAGAGGAGTCAAAACCACAGGGAAGTCTGTCTTCACATACAGCTTGCCTGTAGCATCAGGAGGCAAGGTGGAACGCAAGAGTCTTAGGCAGGCACCAAAAAAGGCCTTCCAGTCTCTCCTTCACCACATGCCAGAACTACAGGGACACCAAGGCTCTGGAGTGAACAGCTCCCAGCTGACCCAGCACCAGGTGCATCCTGTGAATAAGAGCACTCTACGAAGGTGAAGCTTCCAACTCAGCACAGCTGCGTCAGGGATTAACCCCAGAAGTGTGCAGTTTAGTTTTTATTTTCTGTTTTCTTAATCTCTAGTCTTACATGTATGTCTCATGGTAGTTTTGCTTTTGTTTACTATTCATTTGGTTTTTGGGATCATTCTGTATGTTTCCTTGAAGAAATCAAGAAATTTTAAAAGTTCCTAGAATTGAATAAAAACAGCATAGCAAAGTCTATAGGATATAGTGAAAGCAGTTCTAAGAGGAAAGCAATCAATGCATTTAAAAAAATCAGAATTCTGGGAAGTAATATTTCCTCTCTTAGGCTTTGGAAACAAACCAAGTCAAAAGTATTAGATGGGAAGAAATTATAAAGATTAGAGGAGAAATTAATGAAATAAAAATGAAAAAAATGGAGGAATGAATGAAATAAGGATTTGGGTTAGGTGTGGTAGCACAAGGGCTCATCGCTATGGGTTTGAGGCCAGCCTGGTCTATGTAGAGAGTTCCAGGCCAGTTAAGAATACATAAGACC